GAGAAAACTGTTTGAGACACGAGTATGTCAAGTGGTTAAGTCGAACCTATATAATTCTCTAGTGTAATCTCTCTATCTTTCCTCTCTTTATTTTATGTTATTTATTTATTCTACTGTATGCTTCTTTTCTATTATTCTTCCGTCTCATCTCTATTTTTCTAACATAAACGAATTTAAATCAAATATAGTTTTATAATTAATTTTTTTTTGAAATTTGAATATTACAATTCACCCCTATTATATTTGAAGTTACATGACTAACACTATTGTGAGGGTTAAACATAAGCTCCATAGTTATTTATTGTATTTTTTCACATTGTAGACATACGCCACAAAATTTAGTTTTTGCTTCAATTGTCATGATACCAAATCTCATATGCAAACATTAAATGCAACATTTGTCCAACATAATCTCACACTCTATTTGAGCTATTTTTCATATCTTTGTGAATTTATCAAATATTTTTTAAATTTTAAATATTTTAAATAAAGAAAATATTTTTTTAGAAAAATCAAATATTTTAATTTCCGATGCATTGATATACATATTTTCAAAAAATATCAAATATTTCAATTTCCAATGCATTGAATATATGTATTACCAAAAAACACTGAGTGCCCCTGAAAAACTTGTTAGTATTTTTTTTATTTTATAAATTCTTGTATGAAGTATGAAAGTGCTTAATATGATCTTTATAAACTCAATACTTTTCTTATCACTTACTATTCAATTGATAGTGTATACTTGTACATACAAAATAGATATCATGTGACTTGAAGAAGGATTTCATAAGGTTGCAAGAACAAGAACATGAATGCGTTAGGCAAAGAGAATTTTGAGATCGATGACATATATGAAAAAATTTTCTTACCTTTGATAAAATGAAGGTCTCTAAGAAGGTCATTTAATAAAAAAAATGATTACCTTTGACAAATCATTCTCTAAAATCTTGTTGCAATTCAAAGATGAATACAAAAAAAAATGGTACTTTTAGTTTTAGTAGTTATGTGAATGTATATGGTTCAATTAAACCATTAGAGAAAAAGAAGATCCGAATATCCTAATAATATTATCTAATAAAAAAGTACAAAATAGTAGAGAATAGATGATGAAGTGGATTGAGAGGTAGATAAGTTTGAAGGAGATAACAAGAAGCATAGGCTGAGAATTTCCATAGCCTCTACACCTCACACCACCAACCATTCCATTTTTCCTATATTCTCTCCATCCAATCCATCTATACATCACTCTAACACTTCTTTCTTCACTTCACTTCACATTATGGCTTCTTCTCTGCATCTCTCTCAAGCACTCCTCGCACGTGCCGTTTACCTCAACTCCGATCGCACTTCCTCTCTCTCCTCCACTTCCTCCCTCTCCTTCCCCTCTCTCAAACCCAAACCGGCTACCTACTCCACCGGTTCACGTCGCCGAACAACGTCAACCACAACCATCCGTGCAACCGCTGTTGAAACACTCGACAAAACCGCGGAAGTTTCTCTTGTTGAGAAATCAGTTAACACTATCCGGTTCCTCGCTATTGATGCTGTTGAAAAAGCTAATTCGGGTCACCCCGGTTTACCCATGGGTTGTGCTCCAATGGGGCATATTCTATACGATGAAATTATGAGATATAATCCCAAGAATCCTTCTTGGTTTAACCGTGATCGCTTTGTTTTGTCTGCTGGACATGGTTGTATGCTTCAGTATGCTCTTCTTCATCTTGCTGGTTATGACAGTGTCAAGGTTGCTTTTCTCTTTCACCTCAATTTCAGTGAATATTTCAATGAATCCCACTGCTTTACTCTTTATACTTGCAGGATTATGTAATTTCTGTATTCAAGTTGAGTTTTTTTTTAGGATTAGGTAATTCAGTTATGAAATTAGCCTAATTTGGAAATAGTGTGTATGATAATTGAAGATATTTGATTATTTTTATATTATTGGGTTGATTGGTTTAGTAAGGTGAAAATTGTTCATGATTGATCATGTGATTGATAGAGTATTTTCGGTTTTGTGTTCTGCTAGCTTTTTAGAATTTTGTTAGTTTTGATGATTGGATTGGTTGTATCAAACGGTTTTATGACTAAATTGATGATTTGCTTGAATTCATACGTGGTTTTTTTGTTGTGGTAATGGGAATATAGTTGCTGGATTGGATTTTTATGTATTGATTGAGCTGAGTTTGTTGTGTTTGGTTTGAATTAAATATTAGGATGAAGACTTGAAGCAGTTTCGACAATGGGGAAGCAAAACTCCTGGACATCCAGAGAATTTTGAGACTTATGGAATTGAAGTCACCACAGGTCTTACGATAATAATACTAATAATGTTGTGTCTCTTTTGTGTATGTTACAGCGAGTCTTTTTTGCTTCTTCTGTAATGAATTTCAAATATCCTTGTATTTAGGTCCTCTGGGTCAGGGTATTGCCAATGGTGTTGGACTAGCACTTGCTGAGAAACATTTGGCTGCACGGTTTAACAAGCCTGACAATGAGATTGTTGACCATTACACGTGAGATAACTAATTACATCTTGTTAGATGTTGATCTATACTTGCTTGCACTTGTGAATTGGTGTTTTCCTAATTGGTAACGGCATTTATATTTTGTTTGTGTTTTTGGTCGGCTCTAGGTATGTTATATTGGGTGATGGTTGTCAAATGGAAGGAATTTCAAATGAAGCATGCTCACTTGCTGGACATTGGGGTCTTGGGAAGCTTATTGCGTTTTATGATGATAACCACATTTCCATTGACGGTGACACTGAAATCGCATTCACCGAGAATGTTGATCAACGTTTCGAGGCACTTGGATGGCATGTGATTTGGGTAAAGAACGGAAATACCGGGTATGATGAAATTCGTGCAGCCATTAAGGAAGCAAAGGCTGTCACCGACAAACCTACTTTGATTAAGGTTAGTGACATGAAATGGAGATTCAAGTAAGTGGATTTATCCAATCCGTCATATATATGAATTGATTATACTAGTTGAAGTGACATAATGTGATTGCTTTGGGTGAATATAGACCTCCTTGTTCTTAGGTATTGTTTTATCGGTTTTATTTGGCTGAGGCTGGTCATATCATACAGTAATATTTCATTAACTTTTGATTACTATTTCAAAGGTAACCACTACCATTGGATTTGGTTCCCCAAACAAGGCTAATTCCTACAGTGTTCACGGAGCCGCATTGGGTTCGAAAGAAGTGGACGCTACAAGGCAGAACCTTGGATGGCCATATGAGCCTTTCCATGTCCCAGAAGATGTTAAAAAGTATGAATGGATGCATTAGTTATATCTTTGTTTTACTGATATTTTCATGATCTTGAATGGAACTTGCTTAACATTCCTTAGGCATTGGAGTCGCCATACCCCCGAGGGTGCTGCACTTGAAGCTGAGTGGAATGCTAAGTTTGCTGAGTATGAGAAGAAATACAAAGAGGAAGCTACAGAGCTAAAGGCTATTATTAATCGTGAGTTGCCCGCTGATTGGGAGAAAGCACTTCCGGTAAGTAAAGTGTCACACTTGGTTTCTTTTGATTATGTCTAAATAAATTCTTCCATCAACCATTTGTGGAATATTGATCATACTTCCAATTTGATTTCAACTTTCAGACGTACACTCCAGAAACCCCTGCCGATGCTACAAGAAATTTGTCACAAGCAAATCTAAATGCCCTGTCTAAGGTTCTTCCTGGGCTTATTGGTGGTAGTGCAGATCTTGCCTCTTCCAACATGACCTTGTTGAAATCGTTTGGAGATTTCCAAAAGGCTACTCCAGAAGAGCGCAATGTCCGGTTTGGTGTTAGGGAACATGCAATGGGAGCAATCTGCAATGGTATCGCTCTTCATAGCCCTGGATTCATTCCATACTGTGCAACTTTCTTTGTCTTCACTGACTACATGAGAGCGGCCATAAGGATTTCTGCCTTGTGTGAAGCCGGAGTTATTTATGTTATGACCCATGATTCAATTGGACTTGGAGAGGACGGGCCAACTCATCAGCCAATAGAGCACCTTGCAAGTTTCCGAGCAATGCCAAATGTTTTGATGCTTCGTCCAGCTGATGGTAATGAAACTGCTGGATCATACAGAGTTGCCGTGCTTAACCCGAAGAGACCCTCAATTCTTGCCCTTTCTCGGCAAAAGTTGCCCAACCTTCCGGGAACTTCTATTGAAGGAGTAGAAAAGGGAGGTTACACCATTTCAGACAACTCATCAGGTAACAAACCCGATGTTATCTTGATTGGAACTGGTTCTGAGTTGGAAATCGCTGCGGCTGCCGCCGATGAACTAAGGAAAGAAGGAAAAACTGTAAGAGTTGTTTCTTTTGTTAGCTGGGAACTTTTTGATGATCAGTCAGATGAATACAAGGAGAGTGTTCTCCCTGCTTCAGTTACTGCTAGAGTCAGCATTGAGGCAGGATCAACTTTTGGTTGGCATAAGATTGTCGGAAGCAAGGGAAAAACCATAGGCATTGATCGGTTTGGAGCAAGTGCTCCAGCAGGAAAAATATACAAGGAGTTTGGAATAACCAAGGAAGCTGTTATTTCTGCTGCCAAAGAAGTTTCATAGATCAATTGAGGTTCTGTTTCTCGAGATATTAAGATTTGTATTACTACTACGAGAGTTGTTTCTTGAGATATCATTTTAGCCGCAATAAGAACGAATTGGTTGCTCTCGCATATGATTCTCAAAAGAGCAACATAGATCAAATGATGAGATGAATTAAGGAAGTTGTATGAATTTGTAAAAACTATTTTGGCTTGTGAATCACAACACTGTGATGTAGTTGAATTCAGTGATTCTCACACTACCACTTTTCAATCACTGCACTAATTTGGCTACTATGATCAATTATATCTTTCTCAAAAAAATTCTCTAGAAGATCTAGTCTAAAATAACACAACCCGATGATTCGATTTACGAGCGGATTAAATCACAAATATATTATGAAGCCTGTTCCGAATTATAACAATATACCAAAAATCAAGATCAAAGATTTCCCTGGTTTGTTTTCAACCTTTGTAAAAGGTGAACATACACTAATTCATTCCACAAGTCAGGAACACCAGGAAGACACCAATGGCTACAATCCTGATGCGTGAGCGTAAATCTTTTGGTCTCCTCGGTCATATTGGGGAATCTGAACAAGGAAGGGTGAGCATCGACTCTGTAATCTGTCATTCTCGTGATGTTCAGGTAAAACACCGGAGTCTTCATTCCCGCAATTACCGATTCAATTGTCTTCATCATTGAAGAAGGATTCTCTGGTAAATCAGAATCGTCTTTCATTGGTTCTGTAATATTCTCACATTGACCACCAGAATACCATTCCCCTCCCCTGTAGCAGAATCAAAGAGGATTGATTATACAGAATCCTAAATCCAAATATTTGCTAAACAAAAACCTTAAACAAGTGAAATGTTTATTTATTTTTACCTGAAATGAGAAGGGGAATAGCCTCTAAAGAAAACTGTAGTTTTCTTAGGATCAACATGAGTATCCACCCAATGTGACCATGTCAATAAAGCTTTATTAATTGCTTCATCAACATCCATTTGTCCATAAATATGATCTCCTTCTTGATAATATTCCTTCCTGCAATTTTCTCGAAAAAGTTTCTGTCTTAATTTTCCTTATTCCAGCCGATAAATCTACTAACGTAATTTTCATTTGCAGGTAACGGAAAAAGAAAGAAAAGAAAGCATTACCCTTCCCTTACTTTCTCATGAGTCCACCAATGACCTGTGTTGAAGATCAAAACATCAGCATTTTTGTACTTATCATAATAGTTCTCAACCAAATCAAGACGAAGTGTCTCTTTTTTCGATCCTTTCTGGGTTGGAATCTCCCACTCTTGAACAAGAAACGGGGAACGGAAGAACTCAATGGAACAATTGTAATCCTGTTCAACGGTTAACAGAAAAGAACAATTTCAGTCTGTCATTTTTCTAGTTCAATGAAATGGAATAACATATGATAGACATACTTGGAAGATAAACGAGTAAGAATCCTCTGTTCGAAACTCTTCTCTACCGGAGGCTTCAAAAATCCTGCTCTTATTTTCCACTGAATTACGAAGAACACAAACCATAGATTCCCACATGTTCCTATTGAGGGAATCGCCAACAAAAACTAAACGTTTTTCCCTCAGTAACTCCAACATGTCACTACCATTGAACCTGCAGAACATGTACATGCTCGAATCAGTAAAACAGAACCAAAATGCTGGTATCAGCAAAACAAACAGAGAGGGAGAGACATAGAAATACCTTGGCATGTTGCAATTCTTAGGTTGCCACCTGAACTTCTCAAACAAATTGTCAGTTCTACCATTGTGAAAACAGTCAAAAGGCTCATCAATATTAGGACAAGACCCGGCTTTGTAAAGTGGATATGAATCATCAAAAACCCATGACCCTTCATACATATTACAATTCTTGGTCAATTCCAACAAATGTTGTTGATCACTCTGCACCACATTTGGTGAAGGCATAGGTGCAAAAGACTTCTCTTGTTGTGGTTTAGTCGTAGCACCAATCGGTGGATACGCCGTATGATGTATTTTACTTTGCTTTCGTGCTAAACCAGAACCTTCTTTTCTAGAAATTTGAGATGGAGATGGAGAATTTACAATCCTATGATCCACTAATCCATCATCTTCTTTTCTAGAAGTTTGCGATGGAGAAGGTGCGACTATAATCCTATGATCCACTAGTTCACCATCTTCTTTTCTAGAAATTTGAGATGGAGACGGAGAATTTACAATTCTATGATCCACTAATCCACCATCTTCTTTTTTAGAAGTTTGAGATGGAGATGGAGAACCTACAATCCTATGATCCAGTAATCCACCATCTTCTTTTTTAGAAGTTTGAGATGAAGACGGAGAACCTATAATCCGATGAACCAGTAATCCACCGTCTTCTTTTCCAAAAGTTTGAGATGGAGAAGGAGAAGCTACAATCCTATGATCCACTAACCCATCATCTTCTTTTGTAGAAATTTGAGATGGAGAAGGAGAAGCTACAATCCTATGATCCACTAATCCATCATCTTTATGAGAAGTTTTATGATGAGTAGGGCTATATTGAGGCGGATAAGAAGAAGGTTGTGAAGAATTAGCAGTAAAAATGTGAGCAATAACTTTAGTAAAATGATACCTACGTGAAGAAGGGTGAAAAGTATTTACAAGGACAAGCATGAACACAATAGAAGTCAAAGTGAAAGCATAAGTAAAAGTTATAACTACGCTTCTTGAAGGAAAGATGCGAATTGAGTCGGTTCTTGCCAACAATCGGTTCCTTGCTGGAGAATCCACCATTATTAACAATTAATTTCTTCTACTTTTTATTTACATGGTAATTATATTTACCAGAAGGGATGATAGCTAGAGGAAGAGGAAAAGAAAAATGCATGCATGATGCATGGGAGAGATGATGATGGTTGATGGGAAAGAGAGAAGAAAAAGGAGGGAACGGAAGATTTTTAGGTATGAGCCGTTTTTGTAGTTTGGTTTGTATGCATATATAGCACCCCACAAATCTAGCTGCATATCATTGCCAAACACTTTTCTCATTTGTTTACAAGTTACAACAATAAAATATCAAAATAATTCAAAGAAAGTTTTATTTTATGATCAAGTTATAAAATTTAAACAAACAAACTATAACCATAAAAACCCATTATGCTCTAACTTAATATATTGACATGTATTTTTTTTAATATATAAAGGTTTTCCTTTCTACTTCTCTTCTTTTCATTTAATACTTTTAGTTATTTGTAGTGTACAAAATAAATATTTAGTAATAGATTAATTTAATTTTATATATTTTAAAAATAAAATTGTATTCTTTTATATATATACAAAATTCACAATATTTTTCAATTTTGTTTACCTTTATTCATTATTAAACTATGAGTCTTACTTTCTGTTAGTTAAAGATTTGTTTGTTAGTTATTTGGGTCTCAAGTAACTCTAGTTATATATTTATTATCAATTGAATAGTTAAGTCCAATATTCAGTTTCATATGTCATTCTACATGTTGTATTATGGTATCAGAAATATGAAAAACTAGAAGATTCTTTTTCTTCTATCTTTTCTCTATCTCCACCTTTAAGCTTCAATAATGGAGGTCGATCATGATGACACCTTTGTCACACAAAATAACAACAACAACAACAACACAAACAATAACTTCACAAAGAATGCAACCCTTGATTAATCCAGCCCCTACTACCTTAATTTTGCAGAAAACTCTAGTGCAGTTCTTGTTTCGTTGCCATTATCAAAGAACAATTATGAATCTTTGAGTCGTTCGATGAAAATAGCTCTCTTGAACAAGAACAAGATCAAGTTCATCAATGACAAAAAATCCCCGCCCCTAAGGAAGATGATCCTCTCTTTGATGCGTGGGAAATATGCAACAACATCGTGCTTGTTTGGATCTCTGCATCCCTTTCTCCAAACATTGTCCAGAGCAATATTTTCGTTGAGAACGCTGCACAACTATGGATCGATCTGCAAAACAGGTTCGCCAAGAGCGATCACTTTTGTTTGTTAGATCTTCTACAACACATTCATTCCATTAGACAAGGTGAAAAATCGGTTACTGCTTTCTTTATTGAGTTAAAACTCTTTGGGAAGATTTGGAAACTCTAGGGTTCTTCTAAATTGCACATGTATAGCCAATACAACCATCATGAAGCAACGTGACATCGAGTATGTGGTTTTTTATTGTTGAAAGGTTTGAATGATGAATTCAACCATGTCAAATCACATATACTAATGTTTGAACCTGTGCATGATGTCACCAAAGTCTTCTCATCCATCTTGCAGCAAGAAAGACAACTATCACCTTCTATTTCCTATTAATATTCCAAGATTCTCATGACCAATACCAACTCATCTTCCAATATTCCTTCACAAAAAAGGAAAAGGTCGAGGTAAACCAAAATTTTAAGGCAAATCTTCATTAAACTAAAAAGCTTGTTCTTTCTGTGGTAAAACTGGGCACATCTTTGATTCTTGCTATTTCAAACATGGATTTTCCCAGGCTTCAAGTTCAAAGATAAGGTTAGCTCATCCAACAATGTCGATACAAGTGATGAGGCTCAGTTTCCACCTACAAATTATGTTGATCAATCTCCCAACAAAATGGACATCACTTCTGATATGTATAACAAACTCATAGCCTTGATCAAAAAAATTGAATCTGCAACTCATTCTGACTCTCACATCATTAATGCATCCTCTTTAGGTTTGACTCACCCCTCTATTAATGTCACAAGTAGTTTTTAAAACCATAAGTGGATTATTGACACAGGAGTCGCTGACCACATTTGTTGCTCTCTTAAACTCTTTTATTATCAGCACATTATCTCCCATATTCTCATCAAATTACCTAATGAATCTCATACCTCATCAATAATTTTAGGAACTATTAAATTGAATACTTATTTAACTTTATACAATGTGCTTTATATTCCTACATTTAATTGCAATCTCATTTCTGCATGCCAATTATCTTCCAATAATACCTTGATCATCTCTAAATTTCCTTATGAGCTCATTCATCAAACATCACCTGACTACATCAATCTTAAAGTCTTTGGTTGTTTGGTCTTTACTTTCACCTTTGTCCAAGGGCGCCAGAAGTTTGATCCTTGTGACACAAAATGTGTCATTCATCAAACATCACCTGACTACATCAATCTTAAAGTCTTTGGTTGTTTGGTTTTTTGCTTCCACCTTTGTCCAAGGGCGCTAGAAGTTTGATCCTCGTGACACAAAATGTGTCTTTATTGGGCTTAGGCAAGGAATCAAACACTACATTATTATGAATCTCAACACAAGAGATATTTTTAGCTATAGGAATGTTCAGTTTTATGAAAATGTTTTTACTTTCCACTTGTCACAACCACTACCTCAACCTATCGTTATATCAACACAATCTGACTCACCACCCTCTCCTACTCAAAACAACAATTAACCTACTCAAAATTCTCAACATATCACCACTTCACATTCACCTCATGACACCACAATAACTTCTCCCATTGTCTCAAGAATCTCCAACAAAACTATACACAAGCCTAAAAGGTTTGATTAGTTTTCTTGTAATAATCTCATTGCCTCTCAATCTACCAACATCTCCACGCCAGCTCACCCTATTCAAAACCAACTCAACACTTCTCATCTTCCTGTTTCTTACGATAATTACATCTCTAACATCACCTCTCAAGTTGGAAACAAGCCATGCAAACTGAACTACAAGCCTTACAAGACACCAATACTTGGACCATGACTACTCTTCCACCTAACAAGAAACCTATAGAGTGTGAGTGGGTCTAAAAATTAAGAAACGTGATGATGGTTCAATTTAGAGACACAATGCACGTATGATGGCTAAGGGATATATATACACAAATTGAGGGCATTGACTACATTAACACTTTTTCTTCCGTTGCTAAAATGACAACTGTCAGACTTCTATTAGCCATTGCTGCTTTTAGAAATTGGCACCTCATTCAGCTCGATGTCAAGAACACATTTCTTCATTGGGATTTTCATGAAGAAGTTTACATGACCCTTCATCCTGGCTTTATTCAATCAACTCCTAACCAAGCTTGCAAACTGCAAAAATCCATTTATGGATTAAAATAAGCCAGTGGCCAATGGTTTGCTAAGTTCTCATCTCTATTGCTTTCCTTCCACTACAAGCAATCTCAATCAGGTCATTCTTTTTTCACCAAAATTCACGAGAAAAAATTAACCATTTTACTTATTTATGTCGATGAACTCATTATCTCAAGCAATGATATTCATGAAATACAAAGCTTGAAATATCAACTTGATCATAACTTCAAAATCAAAGTCCTTGGATATTTGCAGTTTTTTTCTTGGTATTGAAGTTGTTCGCTCATCTCAAGGTATTGTCATTTGCCAACACAAATATGCTCTTGAGTTACTACATGACACATGCCTCTTAGCCGCTAAGCATGTTCCCACACCCATGACACAATCCCACAAGCTCACTACTAATGATATTTCACCTTCCACTAATCCGAAAATTAAAAGAAGGCTCATTGGAAGGTTGATATACTTGTGCACCATACAGCCTGACATCAGTTTCTATGTCCAACAATTGAGTTAGCTCATTTCCTCCCCGACCATTGTGCACCTGCAAGTTACTTATAGGATTCTCTAATACCTTAAACTCTCTCTTTTTCAGAGATTGTTCTTTTCATCAGCACACACTCTTCAACTCAAAGCATGTAGTGACTATGACTGGGCTACATGATCATTTCCTAAAAAAAAAGGCTATGATCATTTGATTTATTCATATTAAAGGTTGAGATTTGGTGTAAGATTTTTAGACTTACGTCTGATGTCAATGGTTGTTTTATTCATATATATATATATATATATATATATATATATATATATATATATATATATATATATATATATATATATATATATATATATATATATATATATATATATATATATATATATATATATATATATATATATATATATATCTGTGTGTGTGTGCGCGCGCGCGTGCATGCATGTGTGTGCGTGCATGTGTGTGTTTAAATTATGTGTTAAAAATAAAACTTATTTATTATGCACTATTTTTCTTCAATTATGTGTTTCAATTAAACAGTATAAATTTGAATTTTATTTTAATTTCTTTTTAAGTAATATATTTGACGTAGCAAACTGCAGATGTTATTGTAAAAACAGTATATGAATTTGAATTATATCTAACATCATCCCTTAATTCATATACAGCTAATCAAAATCAACAACTCCCATTTCATCCTTAAAAGGGATAAAGTATTTTTAGTTTTGATTACTTTGGTAAGAACATCTGTCAGTTGCTTCTCAATGCTACAGTGAGCAACTTCAAGCATTCCATTTTGAACTTGATTTCTCAAAAAATAGAACTTCGTGTCAATGTGCTTGCTCCTTCCATGCATCACTAGATTCTTGGCAAGACTTATAGCTGATTAGTTGTCAATCATCAACTTCACAAGCTTTCTTACCTTGATTTTCAGATCCTACAACAAGTTCATAATCCATAAGCTTGACAAGTAGATAAAGCACCTACAATGAACTTAACTTCACAGGTTGACAATTGCTAAAGCGGTAAAGCGGCAAGAAAAAATTAATTAAGTACCCAGTTTTTGTCGTCTCCACATGGATCGGTTTGAGGGAAAGAATGTCGTTTGACAATCTCTACATATCTAAGCATGGTTTTAAATGGTTTGAGAGTAAAGAGGCAAAAGAAAAACACATGAACAAGAAAATA